ACACTGGTAAAAACTAATGGAATCTGTAGATCATATTTGGTAATGTGGCCATTTTCACAATATTAATTCTTCCGACCTATGAGCATAGGAGCATCTAGTGTCTTCTTCAATTTCTTCCTTCAGTGTTTTAAAATCTTCATTACAAAGCCTTTCTTTCCCTTTGGTTGATTTTATTTGTAGGTAATTTTTAAGCTATGATAAATGGACTTGTTTTTCTGTTTTCTTTCTCAAACATTTTTTTTCTAGTATATAGCTACTAAATTTTGTATATTAGTTCTGCTTCTCAGTAATCAGGATTTTCTGGTGGGATCTTCTGGGTCTCATACGTACAGGATGATATAATGTGCAAATAGGCATAATTCCATTTCTTCCTTTCCTATTGGTGTTTCTATTTGTTTTCTTGTCTTACTGCTGTGCTAGGATTTCAAGTGCTGTGTGAGTAAGAGTGGAAAAAGTAGATACTTTGTTCTCAATCCTCATCTTAGATATCAGAAACCTATTGGAGAAAAGAAAGCTAAAGGGACTCTACCACTGAAAATGAAGCCATAGATTTCTAATCCAAAGCAAAAGGTGACTGCATTCTGATCCTTTTGTATAAGATTTAGACATTCAGATATGCCCAACCAACGGGCCACATGCAGCTATGAATATATTCCAACCAAAATCATAAACTTAAAACCATTTGAATTTGCTTTATTTTCTGTTCTTTTCTTTAGTGGTTCTTAGCTCTTTGAAAGTTTCATACAGTATATTTTGATCTTGTTGCCTCTGCAAATTTCTCCCAGGTCCATTCCCCCTTCACTAGCACACAGAACTTAGTGTCCTCATTTTATTAACCAATCAAGTACAATTCATGCTTGGGTTTGTGGCTATCCACTAAAGTGTGGTCAACCTAACCGTTAAAATATCTGAGATAATCTATGGCCATATCATCCTGAGTATCCGAATCTTATTTAAAATATCTGGGGCATTTAGATTACCATCAGACACAGACTGCTGCCCCGAACAAACCAAGTAGACTTTTCAGGGCACCATACATTTTATAGCCCAGGTAGAGCCAACAGGCTGACAGAGAACCTGTGGTTATGCTTATGTGTCTATGAGCGTGGGCTATGTACTCCATGTTTCTGGAGACTCAAACCTGGAAGCAGTAAAAGGCATTTAATTTATCTTCAAATTTAAGTCCTTGGTGTTTTTGCGCATCTGTTGAGATGTAGGTATCCTCTGATTCTTAGCTTTGCCCCATTCCTTTCTGCTCAGTTCTTGTTTATTTTCTGTGAATCCTCCCAGTTGCTTGTCTTCCCTTGGATCTGTGTTCAGAGCAAATCCAACTACAGGAGCAACTCTGATGTTTGAATGATACTCCCAGTGTTAGCTGCAAGGAAAAAAAAAGAAAGAAAGATGTGCTCCTCACATGTTTCACAGACATCTCCTGTCATCTTCACAAACACCCGGAGCAATCACTGGTTATACTACTCCCATACTACAAAAAAAGTAAACAAAGGTTCTAAACAAGCAAACAGCCATCCCAAGGCACAGCCAAGGTGTCAGGACCAAAGAGGTTTTTAAATGCCTGGTCTGTGTGTGCCCTGAAACACCAGTAACTTAACACATGTGAATGTCAGTTTGCCTTTGTATCAAATAATGATGATTATACAAACTCGGTGAGTCGCTGTGAAATAGGGTGTGAATAGCATCCCAGTTCATTCAGTCCTTTCCAACAGCTCATATCTAGAAGGGCAACATCCTGTCTTTTGTACTCTGTATTATCTTCATAAAACTGGCAGACATGCAAATCTAACTCAACCCCTTACCACATCCTTTACAAAAAGGAAATCAGATAAGAGTACTGAGTTCTCAGAAGAGCTCTTGCTCGGGACAATCTGGGTGGAGCAGAGAGCTGTGGTCTTGTTGTGGGTACTCTGCCTTGCTGAAGCCCTGCTGCCTGGCTGACTCAGGCTCCTCTGCATAGGTCACTCAGACCCTGAGTTTTACTTTTTACAGTGCCAAAAGAGTTTGACTCATTAAAAATATATTTAAAAAATAAAACCAAAACATTCTCTGTATAATATACTGCTCACATCTCTCAGAAGTTCCTGATAGAATGGCTTGAACTTTCCCTAATATTTTAAAATACAAATGCAACAGACCAAATAAATTACAGAGGTTTACAGAGGTTCTCATAAGCAACTGAGGTTTCCCCAAGCCTCCCTGCTCTCCTCTGTGACAGCTATTTTTTCCGAGACACTGCAATTTTGTTCTACAAGCAGCTCCGTCGGAAAAGACAATAAAATGCAAGAGATATAATAACATACCTCTAACATTTTAAAGCCACTGTTGTCATCGGATTTGGATGGATTATAGTTTTTAAGGGAGCTGTTTTGTGGAATCTCTGAGCTAGAAGACACTTATTTAGCCCAATTGCTTACTCCAGATGAAGAAAACTAAAGCAAAGCAAGCCCCCTTGCTTTGAGCAGAGCTACACTAGCGCTACGCTATAGACAGCAGAATTAGAACTGGTCAACTTCCCACCTTACTGATGAGAGGCATAAAGTCTTGGAAAGAACTAACCTGTGCCTTGGAGCTGTGTACCTAACCTGTGCCTTGGGGCTATGGACCTAAGAGCTGGCTAAGAGCCAGGAATACAGGGAGTCCTCTGTAGAGAGCTTAATTCCACTTCAGTATCACCAAATATACACAAACAAGCAAAGTGACCATATAAGCAAATTTAGGTAGACCATTTTTCCTATCTAACCATAATAATATAACTAACATTTATTAGGTATTAGTATCCTAAAATTGATATCAACAATACCAAAATATAACATGCTTGATGTTGATGTAGCTGGCTAATCCTGAAGACCTCCGCAGAGGGGAGACCCTCTCTCAAGTCTCAGAAAGTCGCGACCACCCAGTAATCTGCTCGAGACACCATGTACCGGAGTAATTGCGAGGTTGTTTATTAGGGCGTGACAACTAGCTGCCGGTCAATTCGTATGCCCACGCAGGAGCTGAATTGACCCCGACAGCCAGTTTGAGAGGTGTTTTTAAGGGAAAAAACCACAAACCAAAGAATGAGGAGGGGGTGAGGGGGTTGCTAGGGTGGTATAACATAAAAATAGTGGAACATTCCAAAGGAACCCAACCTACGTGAGTCAGGATCAGGTGAAAACTCTCTGTACACTTATCTTTCCCAAGAATGTGGTCCTGCCCTGTTACTTCGGCCCTGCCCCATCACCATGATTCTCAGCTTGGTTCCACCTGGCCAAATTGCATTCCAGCCAGTTCCTGCAACTAGTCTGTCCACATTTCCAACCTGCTTCATGCCTCCATGTCTTTGTAAAGAAAGCCTAAAGAATATTTTATGTCTAAAAAGGATTCTATATACCAAGTATCCATAACTTTTCCCTCTACAATCCTATTGGATTAGTAGTAGTACATCCACACCTTATACTTTTATAGTTTGTAAGACAACTTCATGTACATTAGTTTATTTAACACTTAATGGTATGGTATAAAAAAACAAAAGATATCGATGCCACTATTTCTCAGAGACTAAGTTCTCCACCAAGGCTGCATATCTAGATGGTCACAACTCTTACTCTCCCCTTGGCCTGGGTCTTATGAATTGTTTATGTCTCCCTGATATGGCACTAATCCTCTTCACCACCTTGGAAGAGATAACTTCTAGAGGGGACCATGAAAGAGACATGCCACCCTGTTCAAAGAATCACAAGTGAACAAAATCCTAAGAAGAATTCCTCCTTTCCCTCTTGTCTGTGACAGACCTGGGGTATGGGGGGAGAGGTGTGGCAAGGAGTAACTCACAGGCATCAGAGGATCTGAGCCCACTTCAAGCTCCTCAGTAACTTCCCCCACAGCTGTTACTCCAAGATTACATAGGTCAAGAATGAATCCCACCATTGGAGATGAACTGTCAGTTTCATTTTCAAGCTGTGAAATCCACACACTGCCCTGTTCCACTTATCTGGGAGCCCCAGGGGTATGATGAACATGAATCACACCAATAGTCCCTCCTTCCTGGCTTCTTCTTGGCTTTAGCCAATGGGAGACAACAGCAGATGATGAGGCAGGAGGCACATGAGATGGCTCTTTTCGATCCACTCTCTGTAGCTTCCTCCTGAAGCTGCCTTCACTGAAAACTACTGCTCTTCCACTCAGTCTCTGAATTCCCATCACCACTCCCTCCTTTCACCCTCCTTTGTACAATGACAGCACCCTTTTCTACTGTCCCCAGGTGTCCCGCTATCTTTCCTGTCCTACCTGCTCACAACTTCCAAAGGGTTACGTTACACTATTCTCAAATTGTCTAACATGAGGACTCTGTCTCTTGCTGGATCTCCAGAAGATACAGTGAAAACATCCTGTATAATTCCCAGAGTCTTCGAATACATTAAATGTGGTCATTGATGCAAAGCACTTACTGTATGCTCCCAGAGTCTCTGCTGCTAATTTATATGGTAAACGGAGTTAATGATCCCTCCTCTGAGGGTGAACACTGGGCTCAAATAAAATGTGGTGGCTAATGCAAAGTGGTATACAAATGAAACTTCCAGTAAATATTTTATGGAAAAGTCACAGGGAAATGAAAAGCATCTCTTCTCGAGGCTGCTTCAGCAAGCCTGTGGACTCCCCGGAGCAGAACCAAATGAAGCCTGGGCTAACACTTCCTAGGTGCCCAGGGAAAGTGCACAATTGCACACAAGGGAAAAACCAGACTCAGTGCATGTTTGCTCAGCTCCCCAGGGCAGATGCGATGGATGCTGACAGAAGGAGGACAGCATGTCGGGGGATGGGGAGTCCCTCCCCCACCCTGTGCCAAAAATAAACCAATTTTTGACCTACATTGATTCGCTTCCTCTCTCTTCCTCTAGGCCAGTACCTGCATCAAATCCTGCAAAGAAGCAGAGGTAGCATGTTCAATAGAGCTAAAACATGATGCACAACGTCCAGTAACAAGTTTGATTTTGTCTCCACAGGCTGAGTTGAAGATCCCTCTCATCTGCCAGGTGCCAAGGACAATGACCAGCCAGTAAGTACCAGACAGCACTTTGAATTACAATTCCTATCTTCTAAAGCAGTGGTTCTCAACTTTCCTAAGGCTGTGACTTTTTAATACAATTCCTCATGTTGTGGTGACCCCCAACCATAATTATTTTTTTGTCGCTACTTCATAACTATAATTTTGTTATTGTTGTGAATCATAATGTAAATACCTGGGGCTGGAGAGATGGCTCAGTGGTTAAGAGCACTGACTGCACTTCCAGAGGTCCTGAGTTCAAATCCCAGCAACCACATGGTGGCTCACAACCATCTGTAATAAGATCTGATGCCCTCTTCTGGTGTGTCTGAAGACAGCTACAGTGTATTCATATATAATAAATAAATAAAAAAAAAAAATAATGTAAATACCTGATATGCCACCCCCAAAGGGGTTGTACCCCACTGGTTGAGAACCTCTGTTCTAGAGACCACAGGAGCCACACGACAGATGATGTGTCAATAGTGTCACTATGCCCTGATTGGAAGGGGATTTCCTAAGAGACAGGGGTTACTGTAAATTTGGGTGTCCAGTAGCAACCTTTTTTGTGCACAGACCACTTGTTCTAATCCAGCATAAGTGTGCAGCTAGAACAGCACCAAGAAGTCCAGGACTGAGACACCAGACACTCTTACAGAAGTACCAGCACTCACAGCCAGTGTGTTATGGTACATGTAAACACCCCGTGACTCCCACAAGATAAAATCTATAACCCTGCTTTCTCTGTATGAAAAGCCAGAATAAGGAATGTGATTGATTTAGGATAACCAAATGTGTATAGAAAATCTCAGTCATGGCTCAAGTCCATGAATATAGAAAAAAACAGCAGTCTTAAATGTTCAAGAAATATCTATAATGCAAAAATAACACCTTCGACAAGAGAAAGTTGATGCACCGAAATGCCTAATTTGGGGCCATCAATTTGGTTGGACTAAGAAATGCAAAGGGATTAGGGAAGTACACGGTTGGCCATGTCTGTGATGCAGCCTCTGGAGACAGCTAGATCCTGAGGGCTTCATCTGAAGGAATGGACCAATCTCCCGACAGATCCATAAAGACAATTGGTGCTACTGGGAGGTAGTAAAAAGTAGGAGGGGCTTAGTCAAAGGAAGTAGGTACCTGGGGGAGTGTCATTAGGAATTATGTCTGTACTGGCCTCTTCCTAGATGTACATGTACTCTTCCATGTCCTAGCTGCCATGGTATGGAGTCTGATGTGTCCCGCTTTATCTACCATGATGGCCTGGTATATCAAAGAACCATAAGCAGAGTGAAATTTGCTGTCAAATATGTTGTCAGTGATGTGGAAAGGTACTAACTCCGAACTCGGTTTACTGAGATATTTATTGACCTTCTGACTTTTTGACTTGGTTACATGGCATCAGTGATCTAGTTCGGACTGAGAAACAGGTTGATAGCACCAGTGAACGTGTGCTAAAAGTGTCTGGGTGTCTCTCAAGCCCTTGCTCCACTTCACAGCTGTGTGATCATGGGAGAGGCTGAGAAATTACTGAGCCTTCTGGACAGCAGGATATGGCCAAGAGGAGGAAGAGCAACTTGGCTTTCAGTAGCTCCCAGAGGAGCACTTGCTGGCACACAGAAAATAGTTCTATTTGGCAAATGGATGCTGACTTAGAGCAGACAAAGCTATAACCCAAGAGAAAAGCTTTGGTAACATGAGCACCCACAGACCCCAAGGGAGGGTCAGCACTGGGTAGACTCACCTCTGCCCCACAGGATGGGGAAGCTGGATCCCATCCTAGGCCTTTATTCTCACTGCAGAGGAATGAGCAGGGAACTTCCTGACATCCAGTCTGAAGATGGGCTTGTCACCTGGACTACAGTTCAGTTCGCAGCATCTTAGCTATCTTTCTTCTCTGTGGCTGAAGCAGGTGCATCCTTATAACATCCTTAGTATATCTGAACTTCAGCATCCTTGGCGATTTTTTTCTCAGGAAGGGACAGAGTAGAATAGTGGAATAGTGGAAGTCCAGTCTACCACAGTAGGAATAGGAAGCCTGAGGGGGATGGGGGGGGTGGGAAGTGCTGCCATCTGTATCATCTGTGGCCTCATTAAAGGGTTTGGAGTTCTCAGACTCCAAAATATAGTCTAGGATAAATGTAGCAAAGTGCAGTTTTATATTTTGGATATACATTAAAGGGTTGTGGTGAAGGAATAAACCAACCATAGGGCAGGTGCTCAAGGGCTATTGTAACAATGAGTGGTGCTTAAGACAACAGAAATTCATCCCTTCATAGTTCTCAAGCATTCAAATTCAAAAAGAGGTGTTGTCAGAGCAGGGCTGGCTCTGCAGGGTCTTCTCTGCTTCCCTAGCTTTTGTTGGCTCCCAGCATTCCTTGACTAGAGGTTGTATTGCTCTAATTTCATCTGTTCCTAATGGCAATTAGATTCCTGCTTGTCTCAAATCTCCCTCCACCTCTATAAAGACACTTGCCATTTAATTTAGGATTTACCCAGATTATCCTCAAATTATTTCAGATCAAAATCCTCAGTTACACCTAGAAGGACCCTTTCTCTGAATAAGGACACACTCACGGGTACGAGGAACCCAAATGAAAATGTATTTCAGAACCACATGTCAACCTTATCTCAGACCCACATTCCTTTTGGGGAGCACTGTAGAATTTCATTAGCCATTCCTGAGAGATTTGCTTCGTGTCCCCATCTAACTGGTAGTTGAGATCCTCTTCCCTTGATCTCTGACTCCATCCTGTGATGGTACCTCCTTTATTGAGAGAAGAATTTATCCCTCTCAAGAAGGGTTTTGGTACTTTGATTTTGGTTCAGTGCTTATCATCTTGGAACTGGCTTTTTAAAAAAATGTTCTAAAATGTATCTTAATGATTTCTATTTTAAAATACCCTAAAAATGAAGTTGACGATAGTTATCTGGGAGTGCTTTGTCACTGACTCATGCACTGGTTTTTGCTGGGGATGAATTAACCTAGAACCACTTTCTCGTTTGCCTGTCCTACATCTCAGCAGTGGGAACTTGCCTTGTAAAGTTCCCAGAACTCAGCCGATATGTATGTCTGTCAATGCAAACTTGTCTCTACTCTTTCGTCTTCCCTATGCTCAGATCTGTTAGTCCCTATAGAGTTGCTGCAGGTCAGTTGTAAGACAAAAAGAGAACACTAAAAGAACACACACACACACACACACACACACACACACACACACTTGAGAAATACATACAGCAGTACTACACAAATGAAAGCTGACTCCGTATGCTCCCTTTGATTCTCACTGAACAGGGTTCCTAACTAGGAACTGTCCAGGGTTTCCCAATGAATGTTTCCGGATCCGTGGGATTCAGTCACTCCAACCACAGACTGTATCAGCATTTACATTTCCCTGGAGCCTATAAGAAATGCAGAATCCGGGACACCAAGCCAAGCACCCTGAATCAGAATCTGAGCGTTTACAGACTCCAAAAGTGCTGGGCTAGACCACAGTTCCCAGGCGCATTTTCTTCTGGCAAATGGTAGAAGGAAATGTAGTGGTCACCAAGACATAACCAGACAATGCAACTGCACATCTGTGGGAGTGCAGTTTGAAAGTGCAGAACCTTGCCTCTACAGTTCGCTGTGCTGCTCTGAGCCCCGCCCCCTGGGGGGTCGGCCAGCCCCTTCCTTAATCATTAACCTAGTTAATTAACTCCAGGTGGCAGATTCTAAACCCAAGGGATGTTAGAATCCTAAGGCAAGTTCCAGGAAACAATGTGCATGTCCTTCTGCAGTTCAAAGAAGCAAGAACACCACTGTGCATTTGGACTCATAATTCCTCTCCGTGAAATGCTTTACAATTCTGTAACTGAATTCCAAATGATCCTTTGTGACTGAGACCTATTTCCTTACTCTCTGTGTTGGTCAGCTTGGGTTTCTACAAGGGAACACCTTACATGACTCATAACCAACAGAAACATGTTCACAGTTCTGCACCCTGGGAAGCCCCAGTGCAAACTATGGGCAGGTTTGGTCTCCAGTAAGAACCTTCTCCCTGGCTCATAGCTGCAATCTCTTTGCTGTGTTCTTACCTGGAGGGATGGACAGGAAGAGTACTCTAGGATCTCCCTTGTAGAAGCATAAATGCTACTTGGGAGCTCTGCCACTGCACCCTACAGTCCAGTTCTTTACCACCATCACCTTGGTGATTAGAGTTTACCCTGTGGATTTGGAAAAACACAAGTTGAAGGGAGTCTGGCCAGCTGGAGCATGGTGAGAATGCCTCGGCAGACCTTGCCCTTCCCCCTTTCTCTCTGCCTTGGAAAACAAAAGGATTAGATTACTACTAGCCTCCAAGGTTCAGTCCCTTATGTGGCCATCCTGAGGCTGACTACCAAGGTGCAGCTATCAACCATTGAAGCCCAGCAATCAAAAACCCCCTTTGGCTCATGTAAATAGTGTGCCCAACTAAAATTAAATACCACATCCTAACATGGGGTTTCCCTTTACTTTTATACACCACCATCTTCCTATGGGTCACCTCTGTCTCTTCTATCCAGAGGCAGTTCCATGTCCCCCTCCAAGACAAATATTCCTTACCCATCTTCCTTGTCTCTTCTCTCCCCTCCTTTGTTCCCTTCCCCTTCTCTCTCTTTCTCTATCTCCTGTCTTTGTCCCTTATCCCTGCCCTCTGTCCCTCTGAGGTAAATAAATCTCCTTTGTGCTGAGAACTTGGTCTTGGGGGTTCCTGAGCTAATATTTACACAAACAGTTAAATCATTATGGGATTTCTTATTAGGGACTTTTATAGTGAATAAATGAATGAATGAGTCCAAATGAATGAGTGATAGAGAATAAGACACTATTCAAGCACACAGGGAAATATATGTTTACCTTCCTGCATATTTCACAGGTACATACACTCATACATTTCACATAGGTACAGATGAATGTCATACAAGTGTCTGCCACATCTTTCTATACACCACTCTTTCAAAACTATTTGCTCCCCCACGCTTTATGGAGG